TTGGCACTCTGCAGAGACATCGATGTTCGCCACACCAAGACTACTCTCCTCTGGCGCAAATGCATCCGGGAGGAGACTGGATGAAAGTTGCAACTACTGCTGCTGCTGCTACTGCTTATCCTCAACTCACCGCACTATCCACTGCAGCAGTTACTTAGTACACTACCTTACGGATACAAGACGAACAGAAAGCATGACATGGCGTGCATACAGGCAGAGAGAGACAGAGGCACACACCACAAATCATGTACATCACCGCCGACACGTACATCCCCCGCCAACCAAATAAACTCCCATGCTGGTCGTGATTGGATCCCTCCCCAACAATACAGGGCGTCTTAGCTAACAGGTACCTACTGGACCTGCACACCCCCCTGCCCGCCCAGCAGGTACCTCTCAACACCAGGGCCACCCTCTCTGGGTCGCTCTCCACAGTTCCAACTCCCGGCACGCCGGCCGCCCGTCGCCGGACCTCCGGGTACATCCACTTTGCTCCCCTCAACCACCGTCAGGACATGTATCCTCCCCCGTTTCTGAAGCTCCCAAGTAACGGTACCTACACCCAAACATTTTCTCTCCAAGCTCTTGACCTCACCTACGGGGGGAGGGATGGTTTGGCCGCCTCCGCCGCCGCTACTCCCCGTTCCCATCTCGTCCCATCCCCGAACCCAGCAGCTGGCCAAACTCACTCCCAACCCACCTCACCTTGTCCATCCATCCCATCCCATCCCGTCCAAGTTCCAGACCAGGGGTGTGGTGTGTGAGATGAGAGACAGAGGAAACCATGGGCGGCCCCCCTCCCCTCATCTGCAGCATGCGTGTGCCTGTGTGTGAGTGTGTGTGTGTGTGTGTGTCCATCCGTGCCGAGAAGAAGCTCCCAAATCCCACCCCCGTTCCCCTTCCTCCCTTCCGTGCGTATATCTGCCGTGCATCTCCCCCTCCCTCCTCCCGCCAACATCCAGCTCCCATCCGTCCGTCCAACTTGCATCCCTCGTACATCCATATCCAACACCTCGAGTCCATCTCCTCCGGTGACAAACACCAAACCTCCAAACATACACATAGCAGATTCCGGAAATCAGCTCTGTCCAAAAAATGTCACGCATTACCGCCCCCGTCGCGAAGCTTGCCCGCTCCATCAACTCGGCCGCGACAGCTTCCCGCTCCTCCGGCCTCCTCGAGTCGCACTACAATGTAAACCAGGGCGCCGTCCTCATGCCCAAGTACGCAGAGCTCCTCAAGAACCGCTCTGAAGATGTAAGTTCCCTCCTATGCCGGAAAACCAAAACCTCACCACTAACACAATCTCAGTCCACCCGCTCCCTCACAACAACCCACCGCCCAACCCCCCAACCAACCCGCACATCCCCCGCCCACCGCCGCATGCAGACCTTCTCCTCCTCCTCTCCCGCGTCTGCCTCTCCCGCCCTCCCTTCAATGGACTTCACCGTCCTCCCCGCCTCCTTCGACGCCGCCCCCGCCGCAAACGAGTTCGCCGGCATGCGCATGCCCCTCCTCCCGGACTCCTTCACCACAAAACACCAGTCCCTCTACGAGCAGACCCTCGCCGAGGACCTGCCCCTCTCCAAGCCCGAGATCTCCGTCATCGCCGCCAACCCGGACAACGTCACCACCGCCGCCGCCCTGACCGAGGTCGAGGCCTTTGGCGTCGACGGCGTTGAGCTCAAGTGGGCGCACGAGAGCGAGGCCGCCGCCGAGGACGCGCACCAGCCCGGTCTGAGGGATCTGTGGAAGGGTCTCGTTGACGACGTCGTTGGCAGGAAAGCTGCCCTGTAAAGCGGGTGTATGGACGAGGATGAAAAAACGGGGAGGGAATGAACATGTCATGATGTGAACACTACAAATGCAAAGCGGTTGGATTTATTCTAGTCATCAAAGGGTTGCTTGCCTGCTCGGACAGCGGCTGCATCGGGTCTTTTTTTGGTCATTCATATTGGTTTAATAAGCAAGCTGTAACTTCATTGGGAGGGAGGATTAAGGGAGACAGACATCACACTGGGTACGAGAAGCATGATCAATTCTACGACTCATAATTGGATCTCACACGGATCTCACATGATACACCATCGTTTCACTCGCAATGTGATGTGCGTGCTTTGATTATGAATGTTGCTTTTAATTGCCAAATTGTGGTATTGATCGCCCAGTGCCTTACACTCCTAGTCGCGAGTCCAATACCCGATTTCCATAATAATAACTGCTTCTTCTCGCAGCACTTGATTTCTCGGCTCGTACAGTACGCAAAATAACCCCGGCGTGTAAAGAATTTCTCGCTTTCCCAGGCTCTAGTCTGGCTACTATCTCTCTCTGTGCCTGCACTTGCACAATATGCAAGACCAAATCTCAAAACGCTCCCACATTATCCACCCCTAATTCGTTCATCGCTTCTTCATAGTAGGGCGGGGCTTACACTCGTCCGCCTGCACAGGGTGCAGCATGACCTTGATGGGATACGCCTGCGTGTTATGTTGGAATCCCTTGCTCCAGTCGTAGCTGATACCGTACGCAAAAATGGAGCCGTTCTTGTTGAACGTGGTCGCCGTGATGCTGCCGCCGACGTTGGGGTACCCCTTGAGCCTATGCTTAGCATCCTTGTCCCAGAAGTGGAAGGTCCCGTCGGAACCGGCGGTCGAGAATGTGCCGTGGACGGGGTGGAAGGAGATGTCGTTGACGGCGTATACGTTTGTGATGTTGTTGGCAGGGGGGTCGCGGTGGCACTTGAAGGAAAAGTTGGAGCTGTCCACCTGTCAGTCGGCTGTCTTTCCAAATCGCGTCTTGCACAAACGTACCTAGCATCCTTGTCCTCCACGTACTGGATCGCGCAGCGGCCCTCGATACTACCAATGGCAAAGCCGGCGGCGTCCGTGAAGCAGCTAACAACGCGGGTCTGCCACTTCAGGGGGCTCTGTAGGGTCTTGTAGAATTTGGTCGGGTTCTTGAGGTCGACAACGTTGATGTAGCGGTCGGCGGTGCCGATGACGAGAAGGTCGTTGCGCACATCGATCGAGTACACGCGCTCCTGGCAGGTCAACGTGGCCGCGGGTGTGGGCGATCGCATGTCCCAGTACTTGACCGTCTTGTCCCAGGAGCCGGAGACGGCCATGGTGCCGTTGGCCGAGTCGAAGAAACGAACACACTTGACGGGCTGCTCATGTTCGCCAATCTTGATGGTCTGCTGGCTGCCGAGATCGCAGGCCTTGACGGCCTTGTCAGCGCCACCGGAGAGGACTTTGCTGCCGTCCTGTAGGAGATGATGTTAGCTCTCGGAGGACAGAGGTATCGATTAATGTGCATTCGTACCTTGGAAAAGTCGCAGTTCAGCACGGGTCCGTCGTGCTCGTACGCGTGCCTTCCCTCGCTCTGGCCATTTTGGGCAATCTCGTATATTCTGACCTTCTTGTCCCAAGACGCGACGGCCAGGAAGTCGCTGGTCTGGTTCTGGTTGGGGGAGAAAGCGAGGTCGGAAATGCTGTCCTCGGGAGGGTTGTTGAGCGCAACGTCCTGTTTGAGGTCGCCGACCGTGTTAGACGGCGTCGATGACGCTGCGGAGCCAAACAGGCCGGACATGGTGGCCGTCGAATAGTCGGTCTGCTTGTGTTGGACAGAAGAGGAAAGAGCTTTTCGTCGGTTCGTCGGTCGATGGAGAAAAACCAAGCTGCACCAGTCTAGATCGAGAGTGGGTGCTTGAGTTGGGGATCTGGAAAGGGGGTCGGCCTCAGCTTCAAATAGCTGCTGGGTGAGGTCCAGGAATCTTCTGGGCAGGAGAAGCACTGGGAAACACAGTCGCGATGCGAAAAGTGAGGTCGCCCTTCGATTGGCTGCAAAGCCACAAGGCTGGGTGCCTACCGTGCCTGCCGTGCCTGGGTAGCTGCAGCGCTAAAGCCACATCGGCCCCACTACAGCCACGACGCCCCACCACCCAAGCAACTTTTTTTTTCCCCCATTGGTATTTAAAACAAAATCTTGAAAGCTCTGGTTCGCGTTTACCTTCTCTCTTCTACAACCCTCCTCGCCCGACAAATCGCCATCGAAGCTCACAAACAGAGACGCCTCCAAACGTCTCGGGCTCTTTGTAGCCCAGCAGCTTTGGGAGAAAGTCCCCGGACACACGTTACTTCTTCCTTTCGGGGTTGAAGGCAAAACGCCGCGGAAACGCGCCGCCATAGAAGCACAGCGGCTGACCTCCAAGACCTGCGTCCGGACACAATGGCTCTCCCCCTCCGCCCTGCCCCGTCGCTACATCGTCGCGGTTCCTCTGCACCCTTCTCGAAGCCCCGTCCTCTCGTTCCGAGACCCCATGGATGAAGATATGAGTCCGCGCTTGGGATCTGGGGGGTGGTGTGCTTTGGATGGGACGAGAGGGCTCTTCGGTGACGGGGCGGACGCGTGGGGAGGTCGCTTGCCGGGTGAATTTAAGGGTCGGTCGGAGGAGTCTTTCGTCGAGATCGATAGTTATGCGATTGCTCGTCCCTTCACGGGGGCGGGATTACTCGATGGGGCTTATTCTCGGCGCGAGGGGGGCTCAAACTTGAAATGACGGGTTCTTGTCTGGTCCGCAAAGGGTTAGACACCTACACTCTGGACTTCGTGGGAAGTCTCCCCGTCTATGATACCCTGGGCCGACAAGATCCCTAGTTCAAACTACTTTTCAAGTTCGATGATGATCACCAATATAGAGTCAAGCACTGACGGTGAGAGGCCTTAGGGTCCGCCAATGTGAGCGACAAAAATATGCGTTATGGTATCTGATGAACTTTTCTTCAATCTCTTTTTGTTATCAATGGTTTGGATTAGTTGGTCTTTGGATCTTCGGTCCAGGTCATAGGTATATAGGTAGCAATAAACAACATCAAAATGTGGTATATCTCAAGTCCCGACGTGAAGTTCCCTGCGCCGACCTCTACCATGTCTCATAAAAAGGCCATCCCAACTCCATAAAAATGCAGGTCATACCAGACATGACTCCTTATATCGTTCCATCACATTAGTCCGCCGAGAACCACCTTGCCAATATTGGCAACTTCCGTCTTGATGTGTGCTCTGCTGCTGTCCTCGAACTCCTTGACAACACCCTGCACAATGATTTTACGCACTTTGGCATCGGCCTTTGCGAATAGCTCAGCTACCGGCGCCGTCGTCTCTCTGGGCGTGGGCACCAGCGTCAAGACCCTCGTGTAAACGTCAATGAGCACTTCGCATAGTGTCGCGAATGTCTCGAAAAAGTCCGGCTCGAACGGTAAGGATGGTGTGAGAAGATGGGTGTAGACCTCGCCGGGGAGCAGATCGTTGTCGCTGGATGCAAAGGACATGACGCTGGCGCTCGCGCTCCCGGAAGAACCAATGCCTCCATCGGCGCCGTCTCCGGAAGAGCTGAAGTCGTTGGCGCTACTTGCGCTGCGCCGTGACTTTCCACCTTGTCGACGGAACATCTGTGGCAAGCGTGCCCGCGACAACGAACTTGTAGAGCTGCCGCCCTCTCCGTGGAGCTGTTGGAACGACTCAAATTCTTGGAGTAGATTGTTCAGACTTCGTAGGAACTCAATGGGGGTGTTTGCGTAGAGATCGACAATGGTAGGCAGGGAGAGGCCGAGGAGGAGGTAGTTCGTGGCGCGGCGAGCGAGTTTTCGTTGGTCAAAGGAGGGCATGCGTTGGAGGTCGGGCTTGTCGAAGAGGATAGTGTTGAACCAATACACACGGCCTTCGTGTCTGTCCATGAAGCAGTCAGTAAGGAAGAACAGCACTGAGGGGTAGAGAGAAGCCTTACGCCTTGCGGATGTAGTCCAAGGTGGATATCCTCTTGTTGGCAATCTCTTGCATCTGCATGTGCAGCACGACAGACTCGCTCGACTGCCACATGTTGGGATGTGTCGCAGAGGCCGGCGGGGGCTGCAGACGGTCGGGGGCGAGGCTCGCTGAGCCGGTATGTGTGCGGCTGAGCATCTTGGAGAAGCTGTCGGCGGAGGCGGGGCTTTGTATGTTGTCGGCGTCGCGGGTGATCTTCGCTGCGGCGGCGAGGGCAAAGTCGGGAAGGGCGGGGGGGACGTTTCGGTCGGTGACTACGACATTGCCTCCTCCACCGGAGCTGGAGCTGTTCGCACGTCGCTTGGAGGACTTGGAGGGAGAGCTAAAGGAAGGCTTGCGGCCGAAGGAGCTCTTGCGATCCTTGGTCAGAACGTTGGGACCGGCGGGATATTGTAGCGGCGGCGGGAAGAAGGGCGAGGGCTGAGGAGGGGGTTGCGACTGCGACTGCTGCGGTGGCTGCTGGTCACCTGAGGACGTGCCTGGACGGGACTTTGAGGAGGAAGAGGAGAAGAAGGAAGTCGAGAAGAAGGGTGCATTTGCAGTTGCAGGTGTTGCGCCGGATCGCTGCATGTCTTTGAATGGAATGGGGGGCCTGGAGGACCTCTGTCTGGAGGGAGGCAAGGAGGGTCGACGGAGACGGGGGTGGACGGGGTTCGTCAGGGAGGGATGGAGAGCGGAGGAGCACCTCAGACCTCAGACCTCAGGGCCAGACCAGGTTCAGGAGTTCGGCGAAGGAGGGCGGACGAGGGGCCGATTCGATCGGCGGGCGGTTTTGGCGTGGGCAAGGCGAGGCGGTATTGGTCCGGCGGGTTTGATGAGGTGGTGCCGAGAGAGATGGATGTGTCGGGTCCAATCTTGCTTGCTGTGCCCGTAGGTAAGGTACCGGCTGACTTTTTTTGCTAAGCAATAATAGTCTTGCAGTTCCTTTCCCTTTCCCGCTGCAAGGCTCGGGCAGGTGACAGGCTTTCAGCTGGTGCGTTGGTGCTTTTGCTTTCGCTTGCGGGAGCCCCTTGCTTCGCACTATGACTTGCGTTTCGGTGACCTGCTTTGCCTTTCAGACGTGGTGCCCGTGTTCCGGTTGGTCGCCAGAAAGATTGACGCCACTTTTTTCCAGGTTTTCTGGTGGCAGAAGGTTGCTGCAAGGTGGGATCAGATGGGCGGCGGGATGGGCTCAAGTGCTGACGCCGATGAATAGCATAGGGCGGATATGGGTTTGTAAGATTAGCACAAAGCCCCTTGCTGCTCGTTTTGATGCAGGCTGCGGTTCAAACAGATTGGGGGTCGAATGCTAATGAACGCCCTGCAGGTTGAGTTTAATGAAGACTGGAGACGACGACGAGTCGATGAGGAGGCAGACACGAGTTTGGAGTGCGAGAAACAGCGAATATTGGCGGGTTTCCGGACCAGGCTGTGAGGCGGGCAAGTTGATGCGGGTGGATGACAAGGTCGCAGGATCGCCAAGGGCCAGTTTCTGCGTAGGTAGGGTAGTCGGTAATCAATCGTATTACGGCTCGGAGTGTTTTTCGCTGCTCTGGTTCTGAACGGCGGAGCAAGGTAGGGCAAAACGTGGGAGAGTGGACGCTTCAATGCCAACTCGGACTCAATGCTGTCGAAGGGCGGTCGTCAGACGAGGGTTTGGACGGGGGGTTGAATTCTAGGCGAGGGCCAGAATGTCGTGTGAGTGTGTGAGAGTTAATTATATTTCTTCCCTCCCCTTGTTGTTTGTGGGTTAGGTGTGTGTTGTTTTGCAGGGTCCTTTATTATGATGTCCGGGGCGAATGGAGCAAGTTGGCCACTGCAGGCTGGCTTTCTGTCGTACAGTTCCTTCAGTTTGTGGTGCGGATGTCTTAGACAGACGGCCGGCGAGGTCGTTCGACTGAGCTCCAACTGTGCGGATGGCTGTTTTGTCCGTTCGCATCAACGTTGGAGCGGCGATGCGGTGCTGCTGAAAGGCGAGTGTTGCAGGATGGCTTGAGCGACGCGGTTGGGTGCTGTGCTTCTGCGACCCTGTGGCTGGGCGGGGATCGGAGCTTTATCTGGCGACTTACCTATCCGCAGGTAAAAGGTAGGTGCGGTCGGTCGAGGGGTGCAGGTGCAGGTCGCGAACTTGAATGAAGAGCGAAAAGCGCCAACGCCAGTCAAAGTTGCAGATGCAAGAGCGGCGTCCCTTTTTTAGGTGCGGTGCCTTGCGTTAGTGTAGAGGGAAGACGGTGGAACAGGAACAGAGCCAATTGGCCTCGCACCGCGCGGGAAAACAACAGGAAAACAACACGACTCTTTACTAGCATCCATCTCATTTCGACATGCCCTGGGATCCGGAAGAAAAGAGAGGATTGCATGGCCCAAACGCCAAACAACATCAGCTCCCACCGCCAATCGACTCAGTCCCGGCCGCACCACCATCGCCGCCCAGCCGCGTCCATCCCTGCGATCTCGTCGTGTTTTCTCGCCCGGCAATCTGGCTGATGTGTTCGCCGTGAGGCAATTCCAGCGCAGCTGGTTGTGGCCGTATTTCCCCCATCCAGGGACATCCCATTCCGGACGTCTGAAGATCCCAAATGGGACGCCCGATGCACCGGGAATTTGGGACGGACAATGGGGCTTGCGCCAGTCGCGTTCCAAGAGAATCGCCCGTCGCTGGGCAAGACGCCAGAACTTTGCGAGAGGGAATGGCCGCGAACGGAATCTGGGAGGCACCGCGTGGCAGTCTTCGCCCTCGTGTTCAAAGTCCATCCACAAAGACCTACTAGTACTCGTCATGGCTTGGGTTGATCGGCAGGCAGACAATGGAAACGCCGATGGCCGGTGGAAGGGTTCTAGGCCGCGCTGCTCACACATTCCTTCGCCGTGCTAAGCTTTCCAGTTGCTGCATTCCAGTGCTCCCTCGTCGAGGCGACGACGGCTAACCAAGGCTGAATCTATCGTGAAACTCTTTTCCTCCCAACACCCAAAACCACATCCGAGGGCAACCATTAAAACAGCACCAACAGCAAGCAGCAAAATACACATTGCCCAATAGCAGAACGACGTTCGTCATTATCAGCGCTCTAAGCACAGGCATGCGCACATACGCTGGGCCAATACAGATCGCCAGACCGCACCGTCGACTCCAGTAGATGAGCTTCCCTCCCTCGAAATAGTCCGCGCAGCGCCCAAAGCGTCGAGCTACACAGAGCACATGCCTCTCTTCCCCGTACGGCTGCTCGAATTCTTCCGCGTCGATCCTGAAACATTCCAGAAGCTCGAGTACCACGTGGAGGTTGCGACTCTCCAGCGATCCAGCTGGGAATACCACCCTTTAATGTCACCCTTTCTTAATTCCCACGCGACGAATCAACGCCTCGGTGGTCTCTTGCCAGGGTGCCAATGTCGTCAAGTACCGCTACCGACTTCCACCCAGGCAACCACTCAAAAGATATGACCCTTAGGAGACTCCAACATCTGTTCTTCGCGCTCAGAGATGGGATTGTAGGTTGAAGCCTCCTCTGTCCATCGTCTCAGGGGCTCTCACGTGGCCAAGCCGCTGCTTTGGACGAACTTGGCTTGCTTCACATCATTCTACGGTCTCGGCCGGCTGCTTCAGATGCCATTGGCAGCGCCTCATTCGCGTGGTGACACGCATTCGCATGCCATTGGGTTTGATCATTGTCATTACATTAACACTATCAAGACTATTTCGTTACCATCCTCCAAGCCTCTTACGCGTCACCTACGCCGCAGCCATGAGCGTGGCTGCCGGGAGGAGCGCCGACGTAGCCGTCGAGCATACACATCCCTGCGCGGCGTTGCTGGTGATCGGCGGGCTGGTACAGGTCGGGTAGGGCTCGTGCGCCGCAAAGGTCGGCTCCGGCTGCGGCTCGACGACCTCGGCCTTGACGAAGACGGGGATGATCTGGCCGGTCGACAGGCGGAAGGCGCGGTGGTTGAGGGCGCGCAGCAGGCTGGTGATCTCGCCCGAGTGGCTCGTGATGCTGAGCCAGGTCTTGCCGTCGGTACGGAAGACGTCGTCGAGGACGGCCTTGGACCGCGCGTTCTGTGCCTCGGTGGTCTCGCTCTCGTTGCGGCGCCACAGCTCGTCATACTCGGTGAAGCCCGCCTCGAACTGGTAGGAGGGGAACATGTCGTGGATGTATGTCTTGTTGGAGCGCCAGTTGCACGTGTGCACCGTCATGCCCTCGCGGAAGCCCTCCTTGACGGTCGGGATAAAGGGCCTGTCCTCGGGCAGCGGGATGTCGCCGAAGGTGATGTTGGCGGTGATCCCGCAGCGGATCAAGGGGCTCGAGTAGTAGGACTCGAAGTAGGGCATCTTCTGCGTCTCGAACCGGTCCTTGAAGTAGGCGTTCGCCTTGTACGCCTCTGCCTCGCCCGCCGGGGTCAGAAGAGGATCGGCCCAGCGAGCGGTGCCGTTGCCGTCTTGCTCAGCCCAGTAGCACTGTTTCGTGTTAGTTGTGATTGTATGCATATTGGCATGGATGCGACTCACGTTCCAGGCGGGAGTGCCGTAGAAAGACTCAGCAGCGTTGTGCCAACCCTCACCGTGACGTCCCATGAAGAGCAGCTTGTACGAGACACTGTCGCTCTTGCGGCAGCCCGAGGTCAGGTACTGAACCCAACGCTCGAAGCGCTGCCATTGGGTCTTGGTGCCCTCGGGGTCGAATTGCTTGTCCGTCGGGTATGTTCTGTTGATCAGGCCGAAGTTGACGGAAGCCTGCTGCGCGTCAATAAAATGTCCACACCTTGCAAGGCGAGCCAACTCACGTAGTCAAAACCAGAGGGGTCGGTGCTGTTGGCGTCCTGCAGAAAGTACCCAGGGACCGACGTGTACTTGATCGTCTTTCCCTCGGCCTCGGGCCATGCAGCAAGCGCCGCGGGTGCGAGAGCCAGGAGGGCGGAAAGCGTGAGACCCTTCATCTTGCCGGAGGTCGTTGACGGAATGCGCAAGATTCGCAAGGAATGAAGCTGGGGAGACAGAGAGAGCTGGCTGGAGAAGCTACATCACAGCGTCGCATGCGGGGAGAGCTCTGGATAAATAGCACCGACGACGAGGTGCCCCCGCTCGCGATCCCCCGGTCACTTCCAAGAACCATTGACGCGCCATGCCGGGACAATTTGCCCAGAACATTGACCGGAGCGGCTCAAAGTCGAACTGTCGTCCGAACAAGTCAGCACAACCCGGCGAGCTGGGGATTGCGAGAGATCAAGTCGGTCGTGGTGTTGAAGATGGCGACGCTTGGCGGGCCAATGGATGCGCAGGGCGGTGCACGTGGGCGCGATTGCTTTATCGACAACTGGGTCCATTGACAGCGGATGGGACCCGACCACGTTTTTGGGTCGTCCGTTCCTGAGCGGTGCATGGAGATGCCAATCAACTTTAATGGGGCGCCCGAGGATGATATGTGAGGTTCATCCAGGAATACATGGGAATATTGGCGGTCGCTCCGCTTGGAGTCGAGTCCTTCCGGTAGAGATGCCGCTTTGGAGCACTTGTTCGGTCTGCCCGCCCGATGCGCCATTTCGACACGGAACCAACAAGAGGAGGCTTGAAGTTGAAAAGGCAGTCGACCATCATAAGAGCCTCATTGTGTGCATCAGCTGACCGGCATGCGCGGCAGATGCGCGTAAAACAAGGTAAGGTGCCAAAAAATAGTGAGGATGCTCATGAACATGTGCAAATCCATCCATCTCTTCCGTGCGTCTGATGTCGATGTTGGTGACAGAAAACCGTTGGGACGGAACGGGGTCCAATGAACACCTCCCGCCAGCTTGTCCAGCGGGTGGGCTAAGCTTAAAATCGCCCGCCAAACATGTGAAAGACCGCTGGGCCGCTGGACAAGCAGCGCTGAAGGAGGCCCCGTGAGCGCCGTGGGGGAGTGCTCGTGTGCGCCGGCCGGCCGCTGGAAGCTCCTGTGGATCTCGGCTATCTTTGGTGGCGCTGGAACCTCGCCAATCACGCGGCGCCGCTACGGGAGTGGGACATCGCGGGGGCCACGAGCTCACCCAACTTTTGCACCTTGCTGCCCGCCCGTCAACCTCAGCTCAACCCCCCAGCAAGGTAAGGTACCTGACCTCCATACGTAATTACCCAAAACCTCATGTGAAATCCGCCCCCCTTTTCTGCTAGTCGGTGAAACGGTTTTGGCATCTGGTCACGGAAGAAAACGGTGATACAGCTGCGCTGCTTTTATCAGAAGGCGGTTTCCCAGGAATCTCGAAAAGATTCATGTCACTCTGAGTCTTCAAGCAAACACTCAACCAAAAGGTCGTCATCATGGTCAACCCCGACCCCCAGCACCCGCCTGGCGAGCCCGCCCCTGAGATTCTGGAGGAGCGCATCTGGATCGACGGCTGCTTCGACTTTTTCCACCACGGTGAGCATCGCAAAACACTGCTGATGGCATCAATCGCAAGTCAGTACGCTCATCATGGTTGACAGGACATGCCGGCGCCATCGTCCAGGCCCGCCAGCTGGGCAGCGAGCTATACATCGGCGTCCACTCCGATGAAGCCATCCTCGAGAACAAGGGCCCAACGGTCATGACACTGCAAGAACGGTAAGAGAGAGAACCCCTCCAAAACACCACCCGCCTCTCTCACTGACACAATCTCAAAGTCTCGCCGCCGTCGACGCCTGCCGCTGGGTCACCCAGTCCGTCGGCCGGGCCCCCTACGTCACCCAGCTCGACTGGATCTCCCACTACGGCTGCAAGTACGTCGTGCACGGCGACGACATCACCTCGGACGGCGACGGCGAGGACTGCTACCGCTTCGTCAAGGCCGCCGGCCGCTTCAAGGTCGTCAAGCGCACCCCGAGCATCTCCACCACCGACCTCGTCGGCCGCATGCTGCTGTGCACAAAGACCCACTTCATCAAGTCGCTCGAGCGCCGCCTCGCCGGCGACGAGGGCCACGGCTCCAGCCGCGCCGAGATCGAGGCCGAGGGCGCCGCCATGGCCGAGCGCATGAAGCTCTACGCCACCGACGAGACGGGCAAGAAGCCCGGCGTCGAGGTCTGGTTCTGGTCCGCCTCCGACGAGGCCCGCTCCGGCTCCACCCTCGAGGAGAAGGGCGAGTTCAGGAGGTTCCTCCCCGGCAAGGGCCCGCAGCCGGGACAGCGCGTCGTGTACGTCGACGGCGGGTTCGACCTGTTCTCGAGCGGGCACATTGAGTTCCTGCGCCGCGTGGTCGAGGCCGAGGAGGAGCTGGCGCGGCAGGAGGGGTGGTACAACGAGCAGGCCGTCAACGAGCGCGTCGGCAAGGGCGGCGACTACCCGCCCGCCTACGTCGTCGCGGGCATCCACGACGACGAGGTGATTAACCAGTGGAAGGGCATCAACTACCCCATCATGAACATTTACGAGCGCGGCCTCTGCGTGCTGCAGTGCAGGGTAAGCACTCCACAGAGTCTCCCGTGGTTTACTGACTGAATCAAATACTGACACGATGTACAGTACGTCAACGCCGTCGTCTTCGGCGCGCCCTTCTCGCCGACCAAGGCGTACTTGACGTCGCTGCCGTGGGGCACGCCGGACGCCGTGTACCACGGCCCCACGGCCTTCATGCCGCTCACCTACGACCCGTACACGGGCCCCAAGGAGATGGGCATCATGCGGCAGGTCGGCGAGCACGAGTTCGCGGGGGTCAACGCCGGGACGATTGTGCAGCGCATCATGAAGAGCAGGGATATGTACGAGGAGCGGCAGCGCAAGAAGGGCGTCAAGGCGGAGGGCGAGGCGGCGGCGCGGCAGCGGGAGATCCTGGAGGAGGAGCAGGCGCAGAGGGAGGCAGAGAGGGCTGCTTAAACTTGACGGACGACGATACCAATGCTGCTGATTTTGGGGGAGGACTTTTATTTTCTATCGGATGTTCTCTTTTTGAGGCGATAGCATGTTTAATTACGGACTTTTGTCACGAGGGGTTTGACTGGAGACGACCTGACGGCCTTCAACAGGTCCGGGACCCCGAGAATGGACGGGAAAAACACAAACACGTGATACGTAGATCGAAACGCCAAAACATACATACCCGGATGCGTTCCTGTCAAGATGATCATCTTCCACAGTCGTGACTTGTGTATCCGTGTGTCTCAGATGGATAACGGGTAGCGTCGACGTCTTATCTTTCAAAGATACATAGACAGTTTTGGTGAGAAGGGTAGTGGGCGGTCAAGACTACCTGTCTGCAAAGTGGCGGCAGACAGCTCCTGCAATCACGATCTCGGTGGCAGCAGCGGCCGATATCAAGCCACACATACCACTGACCCTCTTCCCCGCCATTTGCGTGGTCAAGTGACACAGCAGCAACGCCCCTCAACGATCCGTTCCCCCCCTTCCCTTTACCGCTCCCCCGGTCGGTGTGGTGCAGGGCTGATATGAGACTGTGCCTGTCTGTGTGTACTTGGGAAGATGACATGGACACAGAGTATGTATTGAGGGCTCATGGAAGGCTCACGGCACCATGCAGAAATGGTGTTCCATCCTTCAATTGCTGGATTGGGCCGTTTATCGCGTCATATGTACCTCAGGATTTGGTGAGATACAACCAGAAGTAAAACAGGAGAAAAGTGTGTGTGTGAAGGGGGCGCCGTGGAAAGAGATCCGGGCCTCCGAGCAGCCGCAGATGCAACCAACACTAGGTCGGAGAGAGAGAGAGGGAGAGAGCAGAGAGACTGCATGCAGGTCGCATATCTTGTTACCAATATCTTTGCTTAGCACCTGCCTCGAATGGTTACACTCGGCACCTTGGAACCATCCTACGCCAACCGATCCAATGTTCGAGAAGGAGTCTGATGGAGGGGAGGACAGACTCTTGGTACCTTGCTCTTCCACGTACGGCGCATGTTGCTGTCACTGCCGTGCGCATTGAAGCCATTGGGTTCCCCACGTCATCGCCTACGCTCGGCTACCAGCGGGCGTAACGAGGGGCATGTTTGGTTTTTTCCCCCCTTCGTAATGGGAGGAAAGATAGCGATAACACCTGGCCCATTCCCAATTCCGCCCTCGTCTCTTATTTTTTTTTGTGGAGGAGGGGCCAGCACTCCGTGGCTCTGTCCGGGTTGTGACAGGCTCCCAGCACTCCCGTCTCACCTTGGCAGGAATTCGGTCTTTCCGCGCTATCGCCATGCCAGCTAGCTCCCGGAATCAACAGGCCATCATGTCAATTGATTGCCATGAACCCTTGTTCTCGATGTCAAGCAAAGGGCGAAACAGGGCGTCGTTGGGCGCCGTCGACCTGCGATGTCGGCCTCTCTTCCTCGATGATGATGACTCCCTCAAGGTAAGGTACCACGAAGCTGGCCGGGTTGAGGGGCCCTGGGTGCAACCCCCGTCGGCTTCGGACCGCGCGCACCAAAGCCGCAATGGGGCCAGCCAGAACGACGACCGACTGGAGCCGTGGCCGGCCGTCGGCTTGTGGTGGGACAAACACAGCTGCAGAACCTGGACGGAGGCGAGAGACCAGGTACACGTACATTGAGCCGATGCAGACGAATGAGCGGTCGCGGCATGACCTCTTGTTTCGTCACAGATTTCCTTTTTTGTTTTTCTCAATTATCTCTGGGGTTGCGCTCTTCAGACGGCAGCAAAACCGATGCGTGGTGGGATGGTCCCGGCTCCGGCGGGTGTCTGGGGGTGGTGGTTCACAATTTTCATCTTCGTTGCCATCCACGGATCACCATCATTCGGACCTTTGTAGTTTGGCTGCTTCCATTGCCTTATCTTAGGTGGAGCAGCAGTGAAGAAGAAAAAGTCAGACTGCTATCAAACAGGACTTGTGAAGGATGCTTGCTGCCAAAGGTCCCCGGGAGAATGCGACAAGATGAGATGAGATGTGAGAGAAAATCTGAAATCCATCCCCCAACATCGCCAATCCCAGCGCCAGGAATGATGGCCGCTTCATGATTGCTCACGCGCGCTGCGCTGTGTGTGGGGACCACCACCGCCCGGCCGCCGGGGGTGGTACACTCGGGCTCGGCATTGGCATCCCAGATCCCAGAACCGAACCCGCGATGCTCGTTGGAATTTTTGTGTGTTCATATGGGCAAACTGATTTTTGGCGAGTGTTCGTGTTGCTGTGCCCCATTGGTGCCTTCGTTTTGCATCTTTTCTACGGGATGGATCAATGGCCAAAAACAAGCGACGGCGCACACATTACACATACATTACCACTGTGTACGATGTAATGTACACCTCAATGACCATGCAGCAGTGTGTAGTCGGCTTGGATACTTGGGCAGGAATGCGAGTCTGGGAAGCCGTTGGCGTTCCGTCGTCGTCGTCCATGAGCCGGGCTGCCTTAGGTCGTCCCGATTCAACCCAGCAACGGAACGGGCCCGCCAGATTCTCTCACCTCACGCCTTCGGAGGCGCCATCCTCCTCCTCCACCACCACCAATTCACTGCAAGCTTGTCTCCACGCTCCGCGCCGCTGCGTAATGTCGTGGTTGCTCTGCTCTGCTCCCTGTCCCTGTTATCTGAAAAATAAAACCGCCCTTTCCTGGATCGGATCCGCTGCCCCTTTGCATTGGTGCTTGAGTCACCTGCTCCATCTGTCACTAGAACCTTGACCCCAAGTGTGACACCCTTTGTACTTAAGCTTCGGCCTCATCCTTGTGCTTTGTCCCCTTCCTCTCCCTTCCCACCTTAAGCCGATATAGACCACACCTCCTGTCCCTTTTTTTTTCTGCTGTCCTTTCTACACTCTCGTGTGTCCCTCACTTGTGCTACCTGTCAACGACTCTAGTCGACAACCTCCCGCTCCTCCGTCTTAGATATCCGAGACACATCTACAACCACACACACAAACGCTCACAACACATCCCCCTCACCACCTCACCTGCCCCCCGTCCAACATCCACGATGGCTCCCGGCACAATCTCCCCCGGCCTGCACCATGGCAACCAGGACGTCGACCTGACCTCCTCCGCCATCGAGCACAAGCTCGACGCCCTCCCGCAGAAGGCAGCCTCCAACGGCCACAGCAACGGCACCGCCAAGCCCGCCGCCTACCAAGAACTCGACGCCTCCAAGCTCGTCTACACCCGCACCAAGAACCCCCGCGCCGTCCCCGATCTCGCCTCCGCCAACGCCGGGCCCGAGACCATCTGCACCGACCACATGATCGCCGCCACCTGGAAGGCCAGCACCGGCTGGTCCGTCCCCGAGCTCAAGCCCTACGGGCCCCTCTCCCTCATGCCCACCGCCTCCGTCCTGCACTACGCCACCGAGTGCTTCGAGGGCCTCAAGGCCTACCGCGGCTTCGACGGCGCCCTCCGCCTCTTCCGCCCCGACCGCAACTGCGAGCGCATGCTCATGTCCTCCACCCGCATCGCCCTGCCCGCCTTCCCGCCGGCCGAGCTCGAGAAGCTCCTCGTCGCCCTCATGGCCGTCGACGGCCCCAAGTGGCTGCCCCGCGACCGCCCGGGCTCCTTCCTCTACCTCCGCCCCACCATGATCGGCACCCAGTCCCAGCTCGGCGTCCAGGCCCCCTCCGAGGCCATGCTCTACATCATCTGCTCCTTCATGCCCACCATGGACAGCCCCGTCGGCGGCATGAAGCTGCACACCAGCCCCGAGGACATGGTCCGCGCCTGGGTCGGCGGCTTCGGCTACGCAAAGGTCGGCGCCAACTACGGGCCCAGCTTGCTCGCCACCGCCGAGGCCCGCAGCAGGGGCTTCGGCCAGATCCTGTGGCTGTACGGCCAGGAGCAGTACTGCACCGAGGCCGGCGCGAGCAACTTCTTTGTTGTGTGGAAGAACAAGCAAAGCGGCAAGACGGAGATCATCACCGCGCCGCTTGACGACCGTTTGATCTTGGACGGCGTCACGAGGCGCAGCGTGCTGCAGCTTGTGAGGGAGCGTCTGGGCGAGGAGGTTGACGTCGTCGAGAGGCGGTACACCATCGACGAGGTCATTGAGGCTGACCAGGAGGGTCGTATTGTCGAGTCCTTCGCGGCCGGCACTGCCGTAAGTTTCCTGCTGAGCGTCTCAAATCATTCTGTAGACCATTTGCTAACATTTTGCCTCGCAGTTCTTCGTCTGCCCCATCTCCCTGATCCACCACCGCGGCAAGGACGTCCAGATCGGCATGGGCGGCGCCGGCGAGGGCGGCGAGTACACCCTCCGCATCAAGAAGTGGATGAAGGACATTATGTACGGCGGCGAGCAGCACGAGTGGGGCGTCGTTGTCCAGGAGGAGCAGTAGAGCGTTTCCTTACCTCTTTAGAGACGGGACGAAAAAGACAAGGAGGGGTTAACGGCATTTGTTTACGAGACATTGTTTTTATGTCATGGCTGGGCGTTTGGACGGCATTTTCTGCGCACAAAAAGGGAGTTTTGGCATTGTTGGCAAGATGTGGTGCATTAGAGTAGCATGAGCATCTCTGAGTGGAAAAAGAAGAGAATTCACATCATTAATGAGATGAGGTTGGGCGTCACGCGACTTTTGTGCATTTTGAGTGGTACTCCGCGCGGAGGAGGGGCTGGCCAATGACGGTTACTGGCATGTGCAACTTCGGCTGAATGGTCGAATGTCCTGCGTCGTCGTCCCGAATTCAACACGACAGAAAGCAAGGCAACGCGGAATTGTTAGGTGGTATCTGTACTTCATATTCGCTTTCGGGCTGGTTCATTCGCTGTCGACACAGTAGATATTTCTCCAGCGATCCGCAAAACCAATCGGAAACGCTGGGGTATCTCAAGAGGCCATGGTCCCGGTGACAGGTTGAGAAACAAGTGAAGGTGACTTTTGAAGGCTCTCCTAGTGAGAGCATGTCGACGAGTCGCAAGAGCTAAGATCAACATCCGAGCGGCAATACCCGAACATACTATTAATAATCATCCTCTGTGGTTCCCGATTCCTAACTAAGGTACTCTTTTTGATTATCATCTTCCGATTCTCAACAACTCTACCAAATTTAGAGACCCACGCCAGATGCACTACTTATCAAGAGGAGAGCTACCTGCAACATTGGAGATGTTTTCCTGCGCTTCCATGCACGATACTGCCTTATTCCAGACCAGTCACATTGATGGCAAGGAAAGGCTTCGCAGTCGGGGGAGCGCCGGCTGATGCCCTCGTCCACTTGGGCACGAGATGCACGGGCACCTCCACCGACACGACGGCACGGGTGGTGTCGTACTGGAACGCCAGCTTGCCGTCCCTAACATCCTGGCCGTTCTGGTCCTTGAACGTGACGTTGACCTGGTTGGGGTTCGTGGGGGCGCTGTCCTTGACAGTCCAGATAGCGAAGTAGTACGTGTCGCCGATGGTATTGATGGCGTCGAAACCCTCCCATGGATGCGAGATGGTGATGGACCGGCTAGTTTTGTTTTGGTAATCCTGTGGGTTGGATGGTTGGCTTTCGAACAGCACAGTAGAAAACGAACGGAAGGTTGGACAAACCTGGGTGATGTGTACGTCGCGATACTGGTTATTGGCGCCTTCGTTGCTAGGATGGTGGTCGGGATGGTCGCCGAACTGAGGGAGCCAGTCGGGAGCACTGTCGCGGCTGACGCCGTCGTCCAGGAATATGTCAGTCAAGTTTTGTCTTCGTCTGTGAGAAGAAGGTGTACCGTGTGTTTTCTTCCTGGGTAGACATGAATGGTGACGGGATTGTTCTCCTTTTCTTCGATGGACTGACGAACGTCAATCTGGGGGATGATGGCACCTGTGAAGTGTGAGCTTGGCTATCATGACTACCCCTTCCCCGTATGAACAAGGGTTTTACCTTCGCGGATGTAGACGGGCGTCACGAAAGCCATTTGTTCCGGATCGTTAACGGCGTCAGGAATTCCGCACCCGAAGCTGATTGTTGAGCCACCGGGCACAAATGGCTTCAGCTCTGCAGCATGCTTGAAGATAGGATCGGACCCGAAGCCTTGCGCGTTGACACGCAGGTTAGATGGATACCAGTTGTCGGTGCCGGGCAGGTAGACGTCACGGTTGTAGATCCCTGGGTTCAAGACGGGGCAGACCATGATGTTGTGGCCGAGGAGGTACTGGTTGTCAATGAAGTCGTCATTGTCGTTGAACAGACTCATATCGTCCGGGTCAGTGATGAGCTTCACGCATTCGTTAGGAGTTATGGCTGGCGGCATGGGGTATTAAGTGAAACTTACCATTGCGCGTGCGATCGGAAGTCCATGGATGAGGTTTGCGAACATGGCATCGTAGAGCACCTGCATCAGGGAGTACCGGAGCTGGACGTAGTATCGGCAGAGTGGCATGACCGATGCGTACTGGTTGTAAAGGTTGCCTGGAATATAGTGGCTGTATTTTGGGTCTCCCAAGGCATCGCCGTACTTGAATGGTTCCTGGAATTCGGTTAGACAGAACTCAAGTGATGAACGTCGTACAATACTTACCTGGAACGCCTTCGAATCGAAATGCTGGATGTAGTGGTTGCGGTACCAGGGCAGCAGGAAAGCACCAGTGTACCAACGAATCAACAGCTCGGGGTCACACCAGCGCGGCGCACTGAGCGAGGAGTTGGGGTCGAAGGTGAAACCTCCCATGTCAACCCCAGCAATGGTGAGACCACTGTATCCCAGAGCGAGAACCTGCGATACTGAGATCCTCCAGAAGTCCCAGGAACTGCCGTTGTCGCCGGTCCACAGGCCAGCAAAACGGTGCATGCCAGTCTGGCTGCCGCGGCCAATGATGAAGTTGCGCTTTTTCTCACGGCCCTTGAGCTTGTTCAGGCCATGGTAGGTTGCCTTGTGCAGATTGTACGAGTAGAGAGCCCAGAGCTCGATGGCCGTCTTCTGTTCAGGCTTCTTGTTTGACAGCTGGCCGACGGTGTCATTGGACATGTACAGTCTGGAGGGGAAGCTAGGTGGCTTATCAGCTTATTGAGAGTCAATACACAAAGGCACGACACGTACCCAAGCATGTCACCGTAAACATTTGCCACGGCAGGTGTTGTCATGTCCTGCCAAACAAACTCAAGGCCATCGTCGAAGAGCTGTTGATATTGCTTGCCCCAGGTCTCACGCGCAACGGTGCGGTTGAGATCAGGGTAGAATCCCACCTGCAAACTAGTCAGCCGTTAACATAATCATGAATGGAATGCCTCGTCTTACTGTTCCGAGTTGGGTGTGGTCAGCAGGGAGTTCGCCGTAGCTGACGGCGCCATGGAAGGGGTATCCACTGTTGTAATTTCCTTGAGGCTTGTTTTGGTCCGGTTCGATGAAAACGTAGTTATCCCGATACTGAGGGTCGTCTTTGGAGTCACGGAAAATCGGACGTTGCCCCAAGTCGTCAGGGTTCTTGTAACTGGGCTTCGCGTAGCCGTTCCCATCATATCTGGTGCATCCATTTACGGGGAACTGCGAAGGAAGGCCACCCATGTACCTCGTATCGCCGACAAGAAGACTGCAACCACTCTGTTAGTGGAAATTCAGCACAAGCTGACGGCGAAACTTACTTGGTGGCAGGATTAAGCTTATCATTCTGGTCCCAGAAGGCTCGCAGGGCAAAGTACTCATCCCCATCCGATTCGCGGAAAGTCAAGATAGGGGTGATGTTGGTGCAGCTTTTCACTCCAAGCTTCCTGAGGTTACTGAAGAAGGTTTTGATCTCCGGGAACCTGTGTTTGTTGTGCGTGAAAGTGCGATAACGATCCTGCAGGAATCAGAATCACGGAGTGTCGTTGAGCGGGCTCAGACTCACCTGAAAGTCCACATCAAGGTGCATTCCGTCAAGAGGGAAACCCAAGTCATGATACCTGTTCGCAACGTTCATGACATCTGAGTCACTCTGGTAGCCGTAGCCTAAAATGGTGAGTTAATTACACTGGACTGGAAAGAAGATGCTTCAACTTACATCCTTGATGATGACCAAGAATGAAACGCGGCTTGAGCTTGGGGCGTCCCACGAGTGATGTGTATTGCCTGACAGGATGTGTAAGTAGAAGATTGGCCGGCGGTAGGCAACGACTCACCAGATCATCTTTGGCACATCGTCCGCCGTCATTACGTAGGCGTCGAAGGTGCCAAAGCGAGTCGCCACCCCAATAGTGCTGGCATTTTTCTTGCCAAGATCAATGGCAACCTGCGAGTAGTTGTCGACCATCAGGCCTGTCACGTTCCGATATCCCGGGGTTCCATTCATCTCCAAGTAGAATGGAGTAGAGTGGTACCTTGAATGTCAGCTTTGGTTTGACCCGATCTGTTTGGAAATGACATACAAGGGCTCCTTGGTGTCCAAAGGACCTTGACCATAGACTTTCTGGTAATTGAAGTTGTCGTAGCCTGGCCGTTTGAGTCACTTCTCACGAGCTTAGGCGATTTACATGTACTCACAGAAGTAGTTCATAAAGGTAGGTTCCTTCAGAACGGTTCGTCCTCCCTGCTCACCGAAGCCGAGGTACTGAGCTGGGCCCGGCTTGTCAATGTTGAGGACCACATTGTTGATCACATCAATGTTCTTGTCATCTTGGTGCAAGAAGGTCTGAGCCGTTGTCCGCCAAATGACGTGCTCGGTAGCGGTGGCCGTGATGCCGACATCAGTCAAGGTGGCGACATCAGATGGATTCAGTTTCCTAGTGGCCTGCCGAAGATTAGCTGAAAGACATTAACATAGGGCAACTTGCACGTACAATGATACGAAACGGATCCGCCAAGAAGTGAAGGCTGGTGACCTCGGTTCCCGCGATATCCGACTTGTCCTTGTACTCCTTGGACTACGATTTGGTCAGCAGCGGCGCACATGACAATGTAGACGGGGAGCCTACTCACCGTGAGAACCCAATGGACATCGGAGATCTTTTTGAAAGTCGTGTTCCAGTTCCATTCCTCTCCAGCCTTGACTGCGTTCCACGCCAAGGAATCGCGGTACTCTTGCTTGAGCTGATCTACAAGATCCGCAAACTTGTTCATCACAATCGTGCGCCTGTACGTTTCAGTTTTACATCACAGTCACGGATGAAGGCAGGTACTCACGAGTTGTCGTTTGGATACTCTTCGACGTTCCTGAACTTTGGGTTGTATCTGATTCTCCAAATCTGAGGCGTGACGAATTGAATTAGAGCCTGGGTGGGCTTGGTGCCGTCTTCGGCTGCAAGGGACACTTGAGCGGCATAGCGAAGGGGGTTATGATCCTTATCCTCCGAAGTGGATGACTGAACGCCCAAGAGCTTGGTGGACTTCTCGAACTGGGGGACGTTCTGGTTGTAGAAGACATCCGCCGGGATGAAGTTCAAAAGATCCTGTGGGGCAGACATGATGGAGGCGATGAACGAATGAGATGATCTTTGGTGATTTACCAACCACAGGTGGATGATCGCTTCATCTTAAGTATCGTGACGATCTTCAGCTCTTCTCACTCATACGAAAACATGATACCTCTGGAGAAGTTGAGTATGGTCGAGACTGGTCTACCTTCGCGCTCGCCACGAGGTCGGTATGCTGCCGCATGAGAAGCACCGGGACTTGCAATGACTGGAACGTGAAGGATTCAGCGATCGTCGTGTCAACTGCCGCAACAGCTCAGGCCGCATGCGAATGGAACTTTGCGGGGAATTCGCGCAATCGTCGTCGTTGCCGTCGTGTTCGTCGGATTGTCGTAGTCATTGCTACTGCGGCCTCCTCAGCCAGGCCAATCTTCGTTGCTATCGTAGTGTCTGTTATGGCTTTCAATGTTGTCGTCGTCGGCCTCGTTTCCTAAGCCGGATAACATCTAGATGGGTTCGGCCGATGACCCTGGGACGGGCCGCCACGAGCCGAGGGTGGGACCACGTTGGTATTGGAACGGTCAATGTTGAGCCAACTTCATCAAGGAACTGTTGATGTTTCTCCGTCTTTGGACTGTAGCAGATGTTGGGGCAATAAGACAGTCTTCAGCCCCTGGCTAGCTGAGCGTCCAAAATAAGACAGACTCTAGGGTCGTGTCTATCCATGAATGCCGGATCTGCGGGGCTTAACCGAGAAGAGATTCGCTCAAACTATACTGTCAAGATGGTCCAGCATATCAGCAAACGGATTTGCATTCAATCGTTCCAGATACCGGACCACCATGAAACAGGTAATTGTTGGGGGCGAAGGGGCCAAATGCTTTCAGCATGGTGGATATGAACTTAACAAGCTAACATTCAGCCACAAGAGGCCGACCTTCCAAAATGTAGCGGGTGGGCGGCTGATGGCAAGACAAGGCGTTGCTTCGATACCCAGCGGGTGAAACTTGACTGCTAAGATATGGGAATTTGGGGGTTGAGTCCAACTTACTGAAACCCCATGGCATGACCATCGCCAAATTCATTATGCAAACGATGCCAAGAGTTCCAGCCGCACTCACTTGGTTGAAAATCTTTGCTAATTGAAGGCTCGGTCCAGACTGAGAGAACGCTGGACTGGAATGATGGGAACGCTCTAGCGACATGCCGGAGACGGCTGCTTCCGCCTTCTCCACCCCCGAACTCCACCCTCCATGAGAATGTTTGGGAAGCCACGCGAATTTCAAGTAGCTGAAATGAGACATTGTCTTCATCTCAGTTATCTCGCGGATTCTGTATGCGGGGTGACGCCGCTTCGGGGCAAGATCTGGTAGTTAACGGCCTCTAGCTGTGCTCTAGGATATATATCAACGTCTGCATATATGGGGAAGTGCAGCAATAATTTCGAGGCTCCCATCGCCTCATCTTGAGTGTCATATTTCCAAGTCCTTCCATACCGATTTCTTTAGATACTTCTCATATCTCCAGTCCCAAACAGTTGGGAGTGCTCAAGATGGGGTTTTGGAAGAGAATCATCGAGCTCCTCATCTTCTCCTCTGAGTACGAGGGGCAGAGCAAGCTCACGTCCGAGTTTTCTTCCCTTGATCGCGTCGGCCCGTTAAGTGAAGGGTTTCCTAAACCAGCCGGCTCATGCAATACCCGCGACAATCGCAAATGTTGGACTGACGATGGTTTCAACATCATTACCGATTATGAAATCCAAACTCCGAAAGGGGAGGTTCGAAACGTTCGTGTCACTTCTGATCCCCCAGTTACAACGCTACAATTTGTTGACAAAACTTAGTTTTACTTGGTCATCACGAATGAGACTATTGCTCCTGATGGATACAAGGTTCAGAGAATGCTGTTCAATGGAACCTATCCTGGGCCAACGCTTGAGGGAAACTGGGGCGACACATTCAGTACGTAACACGACTTCATAACCGAATAATGCGCTCCTCAATAATTGCATCCTGTGCTGGTGTACCATCATTAATCAATGAGCAGACATTACCATCAAGAATGATCTTAAGAACCTGAACGGAACCTCCATCCACTGGCATGGTATCCGCCAACTGAACACCAACTGGATGGACGGTGTTCCTGGAGTGACTGAATGTCCGATACCGGTAAGCAGACTGGAGTTCTGATGATGAGCAAGTCACGCTGATCAGGTTAGCCGGGCGAGGAAGTGACGTACACATGGAAGGCTGAGCAATATGGTGTTTCGTGGTATCACAGTCAGTATCTTGCGTGTCCATGGTAGATCATCGCTAACTGTTGCAGGCCATTTCAGTCTCCAATGTATGTTGAGGTGAACTTTAAACTATGTGGTACTGACAGTTCGCAGACGCCGATGGGCTAGTAGGCGCACTGAAGATTAACGGGCCTACAAGCATGAACTATGATGAAGATCTTGGTCCAGTCTTGATCACTGACAACTACCACAAGACTGCTTTCTCCCAGATTCAGCTTGAATACTTAGGTAAGCGAAAAGATACAGCATAGAGTTCTTAACTAATCTGGCATCACAGGTCGCCCGCCCGCCCCTGATAGCTTCTTGATGAACGGCAAAGGCAAATACTACTGCTGCCCAAAGCTTGACAAGGAGAAGCTATGCGTTGGCGGGTCACAGCGAGAGTCATTCAACTTCGAGGAGGGCAAGACTTACAAAATGAGCCTTGTCAACACAGGAACAGCAACTCACATGACATTTTGGATCGACAACCACGATTTCATGATCGTTGCTGCCGATTTCGTGCCTATTACGCCCCGTCCTGCGAAGATCTTGAACATTGCCATCGGACAACGTTACGACATCATCGTCAAAGCTAATGCCAGAGAAAAAAGCAAAGAGACGGACTTTTGGATCCATGCTCGTGATTGCGCACAGGGTGGAGCCCCTTCGAACTTGGGTATTATCCGCTACAACCCCAACTCTCATTACATCCCTCATACTCCTCCCATCGACGAGAAGCATGTCTGCTACGGCTGCCTTGACGAGATCAGCAAGACACTAGAGCCCATCGTCCCCAGGAAGGTTGAACTTCCTGCCAATATGAAGTACATTGAGGAATCATTCAAGGTCCATTTGACCCCTGATAAGGTAAATCCTCAGTTCCACAAATGGGTACTTAAGGACTCGACCTTTCAACTGGATTGGGCCGAACCCAGTCTGAGCCTTGTCAAAGTTGCCTACGACAAAGGCTGGACCACAATGCGATTTCCTGAAGGCTACGAGCCTGTATATTTGAACTACACCCAGGAAAGCTGGGTGTACTGGCTTATTGAGGGCAAGTTCAAGGATTCTCTCGACGATGACCCCTCGTCACACAAGATGTACAAGAACCAGGCACCAGTGGCTCACCCGATGCACATCCACGGACACGATTTTGTCATTCTAGCGCAAAGTGAGAAGGAATTTGATGGTACCGTCGACCTCAGCCCCGAAGTTCGTAACAACCCCACACGACGCGATGTTGCCTTGCTTCCAGTTGATGGACACCTCCTGATTGCGTTCCAAAGTACGTCGAATTCTTTTCTGGAATCCCATATAAGATCATTTCTAACCTCAAATTTGCAGTGAACAATCCAGGCGTTTGGCTTATGCATTGCCATGTGAGTGTACCAGTCTGAGAGATGCTCTTCATCAGCTGACATCTATAGATCGCCTGGCACGCCAGCGGTGGACTCGCCCTTCAGTTTATCGAGTCGCCGAAGGATATCGGACCGGCTTTTGCGAAATCTGGTCGTATGCCCCAATTCGCGGAGACATGTACCAACTGGGCTGCGCATTACACTCTCTTTAACAAGTTCAATGACGCCGTGCAGGATGACTCCGGTATCTGATCAGGCACAGGAATCAAGAATGCTGGTGATTGAGAAGCGGAATTTCCACACTTCAGGATAAGAAACAAAGGGATTACATCATTAGAACCAGGGATACACCTTCAAACTAATCACTGCTTCGAAGAGAAAGGTCGTACGTCAGATATGTGCCTTCTCACCTTCGCTCAACCCATTCGTTCCGGCCGCAATCCTTAGCAGCGTCTCTTCCGCAAGCTCAGTGGAACTTCCCACGCCTGACAGCCGCCATTGTGCTCCCGTTTGGATCTCGAAAAACACCGCCGAGTAGACCTTGAATGCCCTAACTGGTTTGCCGCTCGTGAAAATTTTCCCAAACAATTTCCAACCCGATGGAACGGCGCCAAGCGGCTGCAGGAGGCCATCAATGTAAGGGTTGTAATCGACCGTCATTGTATGCCTCTCAGACCTGACGAAATGCTTCCTCTGGAAAGTGCGGAAAGCGCGAACATCCTTCATCATGCCCTCCTCGTCTGGCAACTGTACTTTCCCGCCCAGAACAGCAGCAATGTACCGGGCCTGTGCCTCGATAATTGGTTGGGCGGGTCCAGCTACCTCAACTTGCCCCATAACGAACAGGTTTCTTGATCGTGGTGGCACGATGCGCTTGTAGAGGTCAATTTCCGGAGCTGGCTCCTCTTTGCTCTCGAGGACGCCTGGTGCAAGGTATGGATGATGAGCTATGCTGTAGCCAGTACACAGGATAATAACATCAGCGTCAAGGGCGGTGCCATCGTCAAGCAGCAGGCCAGTCTCTGTGAAGGACGTTACATCGGACCGATGCAGGTTGAAGACTCCGGTATTCAGCTTTTCGGTGAAGTCGCTTCGTACTGTTGGGTTCTGCTCCATGATGTGATGGTCCGGTTGGAGGATCTCGGGTTGTTTGCCCAGCGCATGGGTGATGATCTTGTTGTAGGCGAATGCCTGAACGCTGAATGGTAGCCATGTTGCGCTTGATCGACCTGTGAGAAACTGTTAGTAAAAATTGCTAGAGAAGGTCTATTTGGATCACGAAGACTGACTGTTCCATGCCTCAACTGGCTTTCCTAGGAGGAATCGGGGCAGCACCCATGCGCCACGCTTGTTCACCACATTGAGCTCCTTGGCAAGGGGTCCAATCTCGCACGCAACATCAACAGCCGTCGATCCGAGCCCAATAATCACGACCTTCTTCCCTTCAAATCGAGTTGGCGACCGGTAGTAGTGGCTATGCAACACCTCTCCCTTGAATGTGTCCCTGCCCTTGAAGTCGGGAATCCTAGGGTTGCTGCTAAGCCCACTCCCACAGATAAGAGCATCGAAAGTCAGAACTTCTTCCTTGCCGTCCTCAGCCCTGGCATCGCGGAATCGAACTTCCCACCCGCCCTCCTTAGTCGGCGCACATCCAACCACCCTCGTGTGGAACCGAACGTGCTTCTCCAAGTCAAAATGCGCCGCGTACTCGTTCATATACTGCAGATGCTTCTCATGAGAATAGTAAATTGGATACCGCGCCGGGTCGATTGGAAAATCACTAAAGCCAGTCGAATCGCGACACGAGTTGAGAACGACGCCGTTGTAAATCGAAGAGTGAGCGTCGGGACCGGGGTTCGGGTCGTGAAGCCACTGTCCGCCGATGGCGTGTGCGCGCTCGAAGCACTGCACCGAGAATCCCGCCGCGAGACACTCCTTGATGGCAACGAGACCGCTGGGGCCTAAACGGACCGAGTCAGTACTCATCGTCAGGTGATGGATATTAGAAGCTTACCTGCGCCGACAATCGCGATGTGCTTACCCTGTGACGACATTTTTGTTGTGACCAGAGAGCGCGTCGACAGCAGCAGGATCGCAGGAACAAAAATGAGAGAATTCCGACGAAAGGATCCTTTGAGTTTTATAGAGAAGAACCCAGACAGAAAACCCGCCGAACCCGCCGAACTTGGACTTCCAGCAAGTACGCCTCCCTTGACCAAAGTTCCTCCTTTTTGCACCGAAGCTTGAAGCACCGTTCTTGGAAATGGTGCCTGCTGGATGGGGGTTTTTAAGTGCTGACGGGCGCCACCACGTCCAATCTCAACCCCTGTACTTCGTGGGAAATGGGCGGCGCCCACTATCCGCGGGAATGAGGTGGTCAGCAAAAGGAGAACAAGCTTTCCGAGGAGGAGAATCCTTTGACAACGATGCGACTTACGATTGGAGGTTTGCAATTGTCTGGTTTGTCAGATCGGTCTTCTAAGTCCTTTTCGGCATGTATTTTCCGTGGCAGGATGCTTCGAGCAGGTGCTCTCGTTGAATAATGGGCGCTCACTGAAGTGACGAAGCATATAAGATCGGCGTGGTCGATTACAGACTTTACTGAACATACCGGGATGCTTTCACGTATAAACTGTCTGTTGTAGGAGGGTATGGTTACTTTCGGAGCTCGACGGAGGGCGGGGACCGGAACTAGATCCACTTCCGGGCGGGCGAAACGGAGCTGGGCGGGCGAGGGCCGGAAATCTTCTATGGAAGCAAGTTCACTATGTGGAGTCCTTTTTCGGGCCGTTGAACCACTACATAACCCGTGAAAATTGCTCGTTGAGAAAGTCACAACTACCATGTCCTATAAGATTTCGCGAGTTAACCGGAGATTTCAGATACAAGGTCAAGGCCTAGATTCAACCGATTCGTTCACTGACCCAGCTCACCATCATCTCGAGCCGCAGCCGGACGAGACCAAGCAGGAGAGCAATCTAAAAGTTCATCCATCGCACATGCCCTCAAATGCAACCAATTGAACATGGCCCAGCCATGACCGTCGTAACCGAGCTTCTCCATATTCCCGGAACTTCTTCACCCATCTACATTAGCCACATGTAGCCCGCACCTCAGACGGCCGCCGATCCCCGTGCTTCACAGGAAGTCCTCCCCGGTCGGCTCCCAGCTTCCGGGCATTTGCCCCGCCGCGCCTCCGAAGAACATCACCGGAATGTTCAGGGCCGAAGCTCAGGTGTGCTCATGCGGTCGCTGATGGAAAACTAAGCTAACATATATCCCGAAGCAAGTGTCGAAGCTAACACGCACCATTCCCCCCCTTACTTGCTTCAAGGTCCAACCCGTCCATCGACCGTCTAAGCCACTGCCAATTAGTACCGCACTGAACATCTTAGGCAAGACTGCCTATGGAATCTCCTGATACGAATTTCCTTTCACCAAAACAGCCCGCCAGTAAAAGTCGCGACTGTCATGTCTCCTCCTCCAACCAAACAAAAGCCGCAAAAACACATACACGCGCCTGAGTCAACCAATCTGATCAAAACATCTGACATCACCATTCCTTTTTTCAAGAGGCGGAGCAATGGCTTACATGTAAACACACACACATCGCAGATTATGTATATGCAAAATACTCGCATAACACACACACGCGGAGCTAACGCAGCTTATCTACATCTCAATTTGCCGTTCCTGCCGCCACTGTCTTAGACAGCCGCACACCCCGCACTTTCTTTTCCCTGCCGTTTTCCTCCCACTCAATGGATGTCTCTGACCCTCATTTCCAATCGACTTGACTTTTTCGTGTGCGGACGATGACACTAACTTCCGTTTTTTGCCTCCGCGCTGTCAACCAGGCTAAGAGATAAGGTCGAACAGACTTAAAGAAAAGAAAAGCCGTTTCTTATGCATCTCAAATTCGTTTTGTTCGGCCTCCTAATTTTAGACGAACCAACGAATTAGAGATAAGACCCCGAAAGCCGAGACAAGACTAATCTAGGCCCCCCTTCATCGCCTGGGAAGGCCGCCGCCCGGCTACGGCTAGAGCAGTGCCGAGGAGAAAGAAGGAAACTTCGTATTGTACGGATACCCGGCGTCGCGCAGCGCGAGACTGCATAGGAAGCTCAAGTATGGAGCTTTCGATCCCGTGTGCTTTTTCCGACCAAGACACATGCAGAGGTCAGAGAGATGGAAGGTACTGGGGCGATTCCGGACTGATGATGCGCACGACGCGCTGCGGTGTGTCTGTTGGATGTCACTTGCCCCTCGTTCGTTTCTGCGGCCCTTCATTTTTGGCAGCTAGAAGTAAGGAGTGTGCGGCGGATAGCGTGCCGCGTCGTACAAATGGTTCTTGGTTCAGATGGATGGGCACAGTCGCCTGGTGACACCGCAGCGAGTAGGACATTGCGAAACTTGACGGAGTGAGCCCTATGGATGAGCCTCGAGCCATGGAGCAACGAGAAGTCGAGATGCTGACTACCGCGGAGCCTGACAGGGTCGGGGAATAATTAATCTGAAGAATGATGAATGCAAGGTGTAGGTATAGTTTAAATGATTTCATGCAGCGCCAAGATGATAAGCAGACACTGATTCACATTAATCACAGCAAAGTCGGTGAGGACGATCGTAAGAAACCAGTGAAATGTGTGTAAATGACCATTATCGATTGAATGATTACTGCATCTTTTGAGAATATATGACAGCCAGGAAAATATGGAAGAGTTTTTATCCAAACATAGGGCCCTCGCAAATAAACAGGAATGAGAGACGTGCGTGGAGTGGTTATCATCAATACAATCGCACGCACAATGCCGCCCGCGCCGGTACCTTCGTCTAACACCTTGCGTGTAACATTACAACACCTTGCTTTGTGCGCCATGAAACGTCTTTTTTGTGCATTCATGGTTGGTTGACTTTTGACTTGCTTTTTTAAGAGTAGTTGACGTACTCCTGAGGAGTGACGGGCCAGGCGTCGACACCATCCTGGATGATGGCGCTCATGCCACCAGAGATGTGGTTCTGAATGTGGCAGTGGAGAAGCCAGGCGCCCGGGTTGTCTACCTGGTAACGGACAGCCATCCATGTTGATGTGTTAACTGCGTTAGGAGTGGCGAAGCCGTCCCTGCGGGGAGGGTCGACGAAGTTCCACGCTGAGGGCTGGGCGGCAGCAGCCTCCTCGATGGTGTTCCAGGTGAAGTTGCCGCTGCCAGAGGCGAGAAGGAACATCTTGTTGCCGTGCTTGTGGATAGGGTGAGGAGGCTGCGGCGGGCTGCCGGCTTGGAAGACAAAGTCGACCCAGGTGTTGTTGAGGGTGGAAACGAGGGTGGGGTCGACGTCGTTGGCCTGCAGGTTGAAGAGGACAGGCTCGTCAGACTCGTAGTCGGCCGGAAGGAGGAGGGTGTTGTTCAGGGCCCAGTAGTAAGAACCGCCCTCAGTGCGCATCTCGAACTTGTGCATGGCCTGAGCCTCGCGGGGGATGGTGATGGGCGGGTAGGGCTTGGCAAGGGCCTGGCGGAAGACGCGAACGGACGAGGAGACGGGCTTGCCGTTGTCGCGGACCCAGGGAGTGGAGGGAACGATCTCAGGCTCGGGCTGGCCCTTCTCACGCCACTGGAGCTTAGCGACACCGCTGAGCATCTGGGTGGCGATGACACTGGCAGAGCGGATGGTGAAGTCGCCCTGCTGCTTGTACTTAACAAGGACAGAGTAGCGGTCGCCGTTGGTGACGGGGATAGCCTCAACTTCCTGGGGAGTAACGTAGGCGCCGTCCATGGCGTACACCCACATGGTGTGGTTGTCGATGGAGAACAGACCAGTGTGGAGGTGGTAGGCTCCGACGAGATCGAAGGCCACCCACTTCTCAGTATCGCAGTTGCTCTTCTCGATCTTGAAGGTTTCGACGCCACCATCACTGGGCTCGCAGCCGTCAAAGACACCAGGAGGGATCTTGCTCAGGTCACCCTGGCCACGAGCGATGACAGCAGCAGGAATGCAGCTGAAGGATGTCAGCAAAGTCAATTAGAGCTGACATGGTAAACTTACGCCTTGTCCGTCATACGGGCACCGGCAACGTTGGCCAGAACATCGCGACGCTCCGGGGTCAGAAGAGCGTCAATCTCCTCGGCACTACGGCAGGTGACACTGCCCTTACCGTTGAAGAGGAAGGAGTCGTAGCAAGAGAATTGGATGTTGGCGGCAGCGGACAGATCATGAACCTCCTCCGAGATCATGTGGCGGTGGTCGGAGAGGAGAAGAGGAACGACCTTCTTCTCGGCCTGCTCCATGGCGTGGATGGCGGCACCGTCGCTAGAGATCTGGCTGAAGGGCTTTTGGTGAGAGGCGGAAGGGTGAATGGTGATAGCGCCGTAGAGACCGTCCTCAATGAGACCCTCCCAATGTGCGTGGTACCAGTAGGCACCATACTGCGTTGCCTTCCATTGGTATTCGAAGCTCTTTCCGGGTTGGATAGCACGTTGGCTGAGGCCGGGGACACCATCAGACCAGGGGGTGCCCAACATCTCGATACCTGATCTTGATCAGCCATCAGGTGCACCATATCATTGCCAGACGGAGACTTACCGTGGTAGTGTACCGTAGTAGGGTAGGGCAGGTTGTTATTGACCTTGACGGTAACGTCGTCGCCCTCGTTGAGCTCCATCCTCGGCGCAGTGAACTGGCCGTTCACCAGAATCATCTTCCTTGCAAATCCATCGGGAGAGGCCGTCTCCCATGTGAGGTTCAACTCGAAACTGCGAGACTCGGCGACGGCACCCAGCGCCAACGCCAGGGTCGGAAGAATATAGCGAAAAACTGACATCTTGAGCAGCTGTAAGACGAAAGGAACAGGAACGAGTGAGTGGATAGGATCTCAAGGCTGAGTATCCAGGAATAATAATGTGCTGGTGTCCTTCCAAACACTTCTCACTGGAGCAGGCGGAGGACGATCATGATATATAGGTAGGAGAGACAGAGGCACTCGCCTCCATCTAGTCCGGCGGCAGCACAAGCCAAGGGTGGGCGATCTGCCGTCCATAGTGGCGCGGTGCTTCGCTTGGGGAGGAATCCGGGTAGGTCGAGGTCACCCCGGCCGCGGCGGACAGGACAAGTGCAGAGTGAGGATGGATGCCAACCCGACCGCAGATCCGACTCGACTGCAGTCTCCCCCCAAGGCTCACAGACCGAGCCGCATCGCCCAATCAGGTCAAGTCATCTCGGCCTTCTAGTCCCGGGAAGGTGTGTATTCTGGGTCAAAGCCATGAACACCTACTCGATGTTAGCCACGTTGTAATCCATCCTGTGCCATCACGATGCGGCGTGGGTTCGTTCTAGTCGCTCCTGTCTCTGCCCCCCCCAATCTTCTTTGACTTTCTGGCAAGCTGACCAGCTGGCCGAAAGGTCCGTGGGTTCGTGCAGATGCAGGGCAGCAGCAAGCAGCACATCAAAGTATCGCTGAGAGACACATGGAGGAAGAGGATGCAGCGGCTGAAGTGGATGATGTCAGCACAATTAGAGAAGAACAAAACTGTGATTGGGAGCAAAAAGCAAAAACAGAGGCACAAACTATTAGACGCGGTCGCGAGCCAAACAAACCATCCGCCTCTCCGGAACCTAGGATTTCCACGGTTATCAACATCCCAGACGGCGATCATTCCGATATTCGATCTGGCCCCAAGGCAGTAGTGCGTTTGTGAGTCCACAACGGCCACAAGCCCAATGTTCGGCCAGGTACAAAGAACCAAACATCGTATCAAGAACAAAAGAGCATTAGATGCCAAGCAGGGGTTTGAACACCTCCAAGATCAGGTGTCCGGCTCTCAAGTGTGACTGCGAACCACTGTTCGAGTATGGCGCAACGCCAATGCAGCCCGTCCGGCCGCTATGCCGGTTGCAATTTCAAAGGCCCCGGATGTCACAATGGTCAGACAAGTGGCTTGAGCTGACTAGCTGTCGTTGAAATTGATCGGGCGCGCGGACCGCTCTAGTACGGCAGTCCACGGCTCGACGAGAGCAGTCAGTCAGCGAATCCGCAGCATTCTTTTGCGCCTTCGCGCCCATCAAAATAGTTCATGCCGAGAAGTTCAAGCGCCACACCATAACGCTCCTCCTGAACCTCGAGCCAGCCCCTTTTAACGTCCATGCCCTCTGCATAACCTGCACCGGTGTTCCGCGTTCTATATTTGTGTCGACAAACGTCAAGCCCGGCAACACTGAAGATGCTTCGATTGATGTCTTCCCCATGCGCGCACGATGCTCAGTCTCTGCTGCCAAACCTACCTCTCTTACTCGGTGGCGCGCGTCGGCTAGGAGCCGTCAAGGAGCCATCCGCAGCCACGCAGATGACTCGCCGACTGTTCACCGTAAAACAGGTCTGAGGCTTGTGTGGCCCAGATTCTAGGCAGTTTGATCAGAAAAGGAAGCCGTTGATAGCATACGGGTGGCGATTGAGCAGCGCGCTCGTAGACGAGCTTGGCTTTGTGCCACCAAAAAGCACCATCAAGACAATCGGGTGGTCTCAACTGCAAGCGCCCTAATTGCCACAAATTTTCCGGTATGTTTGTGTGAGGCTTCCGTATGGCCTGATGTTTCCATAGATGGGAAATATCCGTTGAGTCTCCAGTCTGCCGGGAATCGGGGCCAGGTACATCGACCAAGAAGAACGCGTTGCCACGTGCCCGGGCCTTCAACGAGCACTTCGTGCCGCGCAACTGCATTTGCAGTGCGCTTTCCATCCAATCCCTGGAGGAAAATGCTGTGCTCCCATCTACGCACCGTACATGATGCGGTCGACCTTACGTACTACATCTAAACTCTGGACGAAGTTGGTGCCACCCCTATATCGAACGCATCGCGCTCGGCGAAGCACATGGTCTTGGTTGCACCGCCAGCCTGGTACTTCCGCATACTCAGGGCCCGTCCGATCGATTTGCCGCCATTTGTTTCTCGCTGTCTTGAGATGACGCGTTCAAATGAGAAGCAATGCGCTCGAGATGCTGTCAATGTTTGACGTCCACGAGGCGTCTCTTTTCACCACAAACTCCTATTGCAGCTGCCTGGCAAGCCAATAGTGTATGATTCACGGGTCCAAAAATTGTCGAAGGCTCTTCGATGACACTCTCTTACGGCCGGTTTTGCGCTCATGTGGCTGCCAAGGAGTCCCAGAGCAAGCACATTTGCAGGAAGGCGTACAAGAATCGCCCTCGCCTGAATCAATTTGGACTTTCGCGATGACCTCTGATGGTTTGTCCGAATATGCCACTCAGCTTCGGACCAAGACAACCCTCAGTGAGATGACCCTGATCCGAAGGCTGGGCGGGGCCAGACCGTCGTCGATACTCGGGGCGCTCCAGCTGAACAATGCCATCGAAAGACAGCACAAGAATATGCCAAGAAGAAAAACTGCGCGCTTGGTCATCAGCCACGCGCCATCATGTCCACACAGATTTGCACAGAATCGCGGGATGTGGCGCGCAAAGCATGCCTCGACGACCACGAGCAGTCAGACTTGGCAGCTGACGTTTGCCTCGAGCTCAAGGACAATGTCGTCCTTTTTGGACAGAGAGCCCGAACGCGGCCACGATGCTATCTCCCCGGACGAAGCTCCGTGTTCCTGGCCTAGATCTATTTGAAAAGGGCGGGCTGGAGTGGCGTTGACTCCCGCCTGGTGGCCGTGCGCACGGAGGGAACCGTTAGGAGGCAGCGAGCACGATCTGAATGTGGGGGACGAACTGCATTTATCGTGCATTGAGTCAATGACACTCTTGGGCTTCAAGCTGATTATCCCCTCTGAGCCTTCTGGTCTCTGGTTGTGACGACTTCAACGATGCAAGCGGCAAGCCTCACGGTGCCCTTCAACAACTCCCACGCTGTCAACAAGCAGGTTTAGTGAGTCATAAACACCGTAATCCTCCGATTCCTCGACACTCAAAGATTTTCAATTAAGAAATTGAAGGGAAAAGCGGTCTATGCCATGATCATCCGCCCGAAAGATGGCCGAAAGTTGCAGCAGAAAAGACAGAGGCTGGTTGTTGCCAAGATGAAGCGCACCGACAAAATTCGACCCCTCGACGGTTAGGGTGTTAGAGTGTAAGTCCGCGCGGGCTTTGGTGCGGCACAGAGGATCTAGCGAAGCTGAAATTCCTGCAGGCCATGAGCAGCAACGATGCCTGTGAACTCTTCGCCGTCCATGTAACCGTACGCATACGTGGGGCCGATGAGGCTGTATCCATGTGAGGATTCGCGGATAACGAAAGGAACGTGGCTGCCGGAGAATATGACAACCAAATCCTCGGGACAAACATCTCTTGGCCCGAGGCCGGGTGTTCCATCTGCGTCCTTGAAGATGAATGGGCGATGCCCCAACACCCTCCAAACCCGACGATATGGCCAAGAAGCCGATGCGATCCAGTCGTCCTGCGCATCGCAGGAGGGGGGTCTCGCGATCCCGGTAAGAACTTCGTAAGCCTCTGGATATCCGTCTTCCGGCTTTGCGCGGCCCACAAGACCCATATCTGTGATCGGTATTCTCCATAGGTTCTGGAAGATAACCTTTCGTCTTGGACCATCTTCAAGATTGTGGCAAACGAGGTCTTCAAGCTCCAAGAGCCATTCCTTGCAATCCTTGATATATGAAGGTGAGTTAGCAATGGACTCCAACACATTCCCAGTAGCCTTAACGCGGCCAACAACAACACCCATGAGGCTGATGCAAGGGCTCTCAAAAGTGGCGTCGAATGTAGTCGGAGACCACGTTGTCCCTTTGGATGCGTCGTACATCATTGATCCAGTACTGAAGCCTCCAATGGTTGCAATCATCTTGACAGTCCAGTCAACAGTCCAGCTGGGGAGGCCGGGTGAGAGGGACGTAGGGCGACGGTAGGATAACACGTCTGGCCCATGATCTTCGACTAATGCCTTCGTAGTGAAGAACAGCAATTTCTCCAGAGTCATGGCCATTGAATAGTCGACAGGTATCCTCCTCCTATCTCTTTCAGTCAGCAGGCCGAGTAGTCCGTATATTCGATCCCGAGAGTCCGTTGATTGAATAGCGCCACCGGTAGCGGAGAAGAAGGCGGCATTGAAGAGCGATGTCTCCTGTCTGGGGCCGTCCTTGTTGTTATTCATGTGGCTAAAATGGGCAATCCTAAAGTAGACATCCCTGAGCGCGTCGTAGATGGGCTGATACTTGGGATCGGTATCGACGTATAGTATCATCCACTCGAAAGCACTCCAAGCACTGCGGACTTCTTTCCAGTCCTTTGCATGATCGCCAATGACGACATAGGCCTTTTTAGCTAGGAGTGCTTCCTGGATCACCCAAACCCGTGTCCACCACGGGCGTTGGAACAGAGTACATATGTGAGCAAAATTGAAGCTGGTTCCCGAGCACTCAAGAATAGTTTTAACGAATCCTTGGCAGATGGAAGGCCCGTAGTCAGGACGGCCTTTGAGGTCCTCAAGTGTGCTGCCTAGGAGACTGAGTTGGTGGAGAGCGCTGACGCTGGCATCGTCCTCAGGCCCGAGCCAGATGAGGACTTGGCGCGCGCTGCTGTAGATCCTGCCCATCAACTGCACCTGTTGTGCCTTCTCCTCGTCATCTGCTTGATTGATGCACAATGCATCGATCCAGATTTTGGTGACCTGTGACTTGCTGAATTTGGCGAGCCGCTCGAGAGCGCAGTATAGATTTTGCGTGACGTCGACGTTCTGACCTTGGAGGAGAATTGAGCGAGGTTGGGTAGCGTCGCCCCAGACATACGAGAGGGCCGTGAAGTCGGGATCGTCGTCCAAACTGTCATGAACAATGGAACAGCTGATGTGACCCGGACTTCCATCGCCATGATTGATTTCGAGAAGTCGAATATCCCGACTGGCATCCTGCAAAGGCCGGTACTGGTACGGCATGATCGTTGCTGTCTGAAAAGCTGTGCGCAAGATGCCATCAGAAGGATGACCGGCTTTGACATTCCTGCCAGCCGCCAGGCTGCAAAGAAACGCCGCCACGCAGCCACGCTAAGAGCCACGTCACGCCAGACTTGCTGCAGGGTCGTTTCTTCGTCCGCGATTGCCCCCAGCTTTTCTGCTTGCCACTCGGGGAGGTTATGTCTCGTTGATGCGGACCCGTGATTGCCATGGAAGTGCGGCTGCCGACGCAGCGATGGTCAAGCCTCTCGAGTCCCGCGTGGAAGATCATCGGATTGGAATGCCCGTCTTGCTACATCGCCCACTCGGTTATCTCAGGATGGCCTGCAGATGGGGTCAGCCACAATCCGCCTCTTGGCACCGGCTTCAGTAGAGTATACTTCACGTCTTGAAGGTCGGCTCCATGCTTTCGACGGCCCTCAGGTGTTGCTATTTTCAAATACTGCAGAACTGCACTGCCGCCAGTCGATTATGCCCATCTTCTTGGCGACACTCGGCGAGAAACGGGGATCGGTGAAGGAAACGCGTGGCGCCGCTGGGAAGCGAAGGAAATGAGGTGTTTCCGACCAGTCTGAGGGTAGGTTCCTAGGAGAGAAACGAGAAATTACACACCTGTCGCGCTTGACCCGGGGCCGTTGGGCAGGTCCACTCGCAACCACACCCGCGCCGGTAGGCACGTGCGGATTCTCCCGCTCCACTGCCGACTTCTCGATCCGAATTCGATGTAACTTCCGCTTTTGGGAGATGTTGAAGAAGTCTCAATGGCTGATTGGACTGTGTGAGAAGCCACATGCGAGATAGAATCATGTGCGATGTGTTACTTCTGACGTCCTTTGGCATGACGCTCTGCGGATGTCATCAGAAACCAGGCAGTCCGTAAAGACAAAGAGATGATCAACTTGTGAAGATTGTTCTAACATTAATCGAAGGAGAGTTTTAATCTGTTCTTGCAGGCATGGAACTGGGAGGACCGAATACAACTTCAACATCCGACTGAGAATTATGGTGGTACCAATCTGCAACGTGGAAGGCTACTATCATGATAAACGCAAGATAATGACCGAAAGCTTTTGGGCGTCGATTGAGCTATCGAATTGGGACGTTTGGAGGTTGCCCTGACCTGTGATGAAGCCCCGACCCTGTTGGACTTTATGATGGAAAAGAGATAAAATTGCTGCTCAACATCAAGGTCAAGACATAGACCATGCTTCCACTACCACGTCTAACCATTGTTATCACACAAACTTCAATCTTATGATCAAGGTAATGAGTTCATATCTAGCAGGAACCTTGGGAGCATACCCGGAAAGTTCCCTGCGCCCCTGGCTACATCCGTACATACCAGCACCTTGAAGGGTTTAGAAAACTTACGGAGATGTTCAGAGATTTCTTTTAATACTCAAGAGACTCGCCATATTCCCCATCAATATCTTCCCTCTTCTTCATTATCCTCTGCTTCCTATCTTCGCCCGCAATAAGCCATGGATACCCAAAACTCCAACTCCAGTGTCGATACCGTCACCGTCATGAACGACAACACACCCAACTCGGGGCGCGTTGTGAACAACCGGCTGGACAAGAACACCGAGCCTTATCAAGTCATCGGCTTCGGCCAGTGCAGCTGGGTATACCACCGCAAAGGCAGGAACCACGTTGTCAAACTCGCCCGGCAAGGCTACCAAACCGCCCTCGAGACCGACCACATAGCCCACCTCAAAGTCCGCGCCGCATTCGACATCCACAAACCCCCCGTCAACGTCCCCGAACCGATCCGCCTCGCCCCTCCGACATCTCGCTGGTGGGAAACCCACAGCTCCATTCTCCTCCAACCCCCGTACGACATCTCCCAGAAAACCTCATGGGCCCTCCTGTCCCAGCGCATCCCCCCCTTGCCAAAGTGCCATCGCGACACCCTCATCAACACCTTCTGTCCCGTGCATAAGCGGCGGGATGCAGCAACGGACACGAAGAACGAGGACGCGCTGGCGAGGGTGTACCTCGGACGCCGACGTGTGCCAGGGGCGCCTCTCCCGCCCAACTTCTCGCTGAGGAACTACAACCTCACGCTGGACCAGCTGCTCCAGCTCGACGCGCCCGTGGCGGAATACGCGCGCCAAATGGGCGAGGCGCTTTGTGTAATGCACTGGGGCGCCTGGGTTGACGGCTATGGCATCGAATTCGTCCTCGGAGGGCAGCCAAAACCTCCGAAAATGGCGTCCTCTACTGCCACTGGGAAGCAGACAGCCGTATCGGTGGACATTACCAGCGCGCCATCACCAGCACAACCGGCGTACGACGCGAACCTGGCACAGCTGTGGGTTCTCGACTTCGATCTCTGTAGTATGTGGGATCGCGAGCGCATGTGTAGGTTTCCGAACGACCTAGTCCAGCAGCTTGTCCGGGCTTTCTTCAAGAACGACCCGTATTACCCGCTGCCCAGTATGAAAGGCGAAGTCGAAGAAGAGCTGTGGTGGGAGTTTAGAGAAGCGTACATGGAACAGGCTCGTAGTATGCGGCTGAGGCATCCGTTACCTGGAAGTTTCATTAAAGCTTGTGAGAGGAGGGGGAGTGGGAACCTGGAGATTTGGGAACATGAGTTTTGAAGGGAACCCAGGTCCATGAGAATGTCAATTTTGTTGTGCGAAATACCCCGAGAGCTGTAAAAATTCCAAGCCGTGTGAATAACCATTTAATCGAATGTGTTCCTTTGCTTGTCTGCTTGTCTGCTTGTCTGCTATCGACTTATTATTGTCATGAAGAGCCTCCTCACAGAGAAACATAGACTAGGAGCTGATTCTGTCACGTTACTCGCTGCAAGTGTGTCAAATATATATGAGTGGTATTTCGTTTCGGCAATGCAATCATATCCTCTTATCTTGAAAAAGGTCAGTCAACGACAGTCTTCCAACGCGAGTTTCTGTTAGACCATAGACAAAGAACTCTAAGCCACCCACATAGTCAATATCAACAACCTCGTTCAAATTCACAACCATGTGAATAAATACCACCCCCCATACATCCCTCTCCAATACAACACTTCCCATACGACATCCATCCACATCACCACATCACCACATGGCCCGCGCCCACATCCCCAGAAACTTCGGACGATTAGACCTCAACGTCTCAATCCCCGGCCCCGGAACCCTTCTCGCAGGCCCCACACGCCCTCCGAGTCCCGCCCGACGTGACATCGTCCCATCCGATCACCTCGTCCGCCCGCCCCCGCCGAACTACCCGAAGAGCCCCTCCCTTCCCCCTTACAAACAAGGACCAATCCAGTCCCAAAACGTCACAATGACCCTCACACTTCCAGGAGTTCAGAGCTACCAAAAAAAGGCCTCAACCACACGTTATCTTCATCCCATGCCTATATGAAACCCACCACCCGCAACTGCACCTCACACTGACATCCCCACAATCCTCAAAGATATCAACATATCAAAGTTTCTTGTACTGTAGAAGAACCAACCCACCAAAACCAAATATGGCTTTCCCCTCAAAAGTAGCGCTCGTCACAGGCGCCTCCTCCGGCATAGGCGCCGCCCTCACAGCCCGCCTCATCGCCAACGGCACCTTCGTGATAGCAGTCGCCCGCCGCAAGGACCGGCTCCAGACCCTCCTCGACGCCCACGGCCCGGACAAGGTCGCCGCCGAGCCCTACGACATGACGGACCTCGAAGGAATGCCCGAGTGGGTCAACAAGTTGAGTCCCCGTCCCGTCTTCCCCCCCTTTCCGTCCCGTCCCCCGCGCACCCGGCGCCGCATACCCGAGCAACACGCGGCCAAACCATCACCGTCCTATCACATCAAAAAGCCCACCCAAAACTAACAAAGCCATCCCAAGAATAACAACAACCTACCCGGCCCTAGACACCATAATCCTGAACGCAGGCATCCAGCGCTCAATCGACTTCACCTCCCCCACCTCCATCTCCCTCCCCAACATCTCCTCGGAGCTGACGACGAACTACCTCGCCCCCCTCCACCTCATCACCCACTTCCTCCCCCATCTCCAGTCCGTCGCGCCGACCCAGGCACACGTCGTCCTCGTCTCTTCCGGCCTCGCCCTCGTCCCCATCCCCCGCTGCCCAAACTACTGCGCCACGAAATCAGCCCTGCACTCCCTCGCCTGGACCCTCCGCACCCAGCTCGCCGCGCACGACGCCTCGTCCCACGTCCGCGTCATCGAGGTCGTCCCCCCCGCCGTGCAGACCGAGCTGCACTCCGTCCAGCCGGACCTGGTTGCCGCGGGGCAGGCTAACTTTGGCATGCCGCTGGAGGAGTTTACGGAGGAGACGTGGACGGCGTTGGAGGAGGGCAAGGAGGATGAGATCATCGTCGGGCCGGCTAAGAACTTTGCGCACGTTGAGACGGACAGGAAGAAAATGTTTGACAAGATGGCTGAGATGTTCAGGAGCGGATCAAAGATTTGAGCCTCACTCATCGAGGGCATGTCACTCAAGAGAATTGGGACGGCAAAAATGGCATTCAATCTGTATTGGGCCAAATGCCTATGCTAACTACACTCCCTGGTCCTGTCAGCAGCCACCATCACCCAGGCTTTCCGGCCTGAAATAATGAAACGGTTGCTTCGTGGTGCTTGTGATTTTTTTTCGATCTTGTAAGGACTTGCACGAAGGCTGTAAAGAGAAAACGAAAAGCAAGTGTCTCTCGTCATCCGGGCTTAACGCCTTCCATCTCAGGAATTCGGCGCATTCCCGTTGCGCAGAAACCAAAGTTTCATGTCCAGCGGAGAAAGTAACAAAACCAAGCCTGGCCAACTCTTTCCATACTCCTCTTTCCCTATGGTATATCTTTCTCGGACCGTAGAAACCAAGACTGCACGGAGCCTCTAAGGTGTTGCTCGTCCAAAGCCAAGCGAGGAAGATGAATGACAGACACTCGATACCTCGATGACTTGGCTAAGAATGTAAAAGAAGTGAAAATGTGAATTTGTAGTCAACCAAGCCTCGAATGCTGGAACAAAAGAGCCGCCGGAACCCCCCGTGAATAGGAATAGAACAACATATGATTCGTGAGAAGAGCGCGCCTGACCGTCCAACCCATCATCTAATCCTGCCATCCAAAGGGTTGAGGATCAACCCGCCCCTTGTGCAGGTCGTGAAAAGGAAAGACATTGGGGCGCATAGTCGTCGTAACGTCCAGTAAGCAACAAGTCTACGCCAAGATGCCGCTCTTTCTCTTCTCGGCGCTGGTCAAGACCAGCATTGGCGCCTTGCGCTGTCCGTCTGTCACCTCAATACCGGCACGCTGAGCTGAGTTCTTGAAAACACTGGCGAAGCTGTTCTCACCGCTCTCGGCACTGCTGACGCTGTCAACGCTCTTGCGAGCCCTCTGACGAGAGCTTGGGCGGTCAGAGCCGATGGCACCCCAGCTGCCGTTGGTGGACGTCCTTGAGCTGGGAAGAGAGCAATCAATGTCGCCAGCCAAGCTGCCAGATCCACTGTGGCCGGAGTCAGATTCGTTGTCGGTGATGGGGGTGCCGGACTCTTCCTCGGCGCTCTCGGAGACGGGGCTCATGCTACCGCTGGAGCTGCCGGTTCCCTTTCTGCGCTCACGTCCCGCGCGGACCAGGTTGTGGACAGCCGAGCGACGCGTGCGGGTGGCAAAGTTCTTGCTTCCCTCGTGCTTGGCGGTAGGCTTAGCCTTGAGCTCCTCAATGGAGGGAGGTCCGCGGGGCTGGCGAACGGGGTGCTCGCCGGCACGTCCCTGGCCGGGTCCATAGCCTCCAGACAAGGGAGTAAGAGGGAAAGAGGCGGTCTTGGGACCAGCGGACTTGGGGGGCTCCTGAGAAGGCGAAAGGGCAGCCTGGTTGTTACCGTTGAGTGCCAAGGACATGACCTTCTTATGGCCACGGCGGAAAGCATTGGCTGACGGAGGAGGCAGAGGGGTGACCTCAGAGGGAGACTCGTAGCGCTTAGGGGGAGTAGCGGTGCGGAACGGGGTGGCGTGGTTCTCGGGAGGAGGCGAAACCTGAACACGAGGGGCTTGCTGCTGCTGCAGTTGCTGGATTTGAAGCTGCTGCTGCTGCTGCAGGGCAGCGTAAACCTGCGCCAACTGAGCCTGTTGGTCATTCTGGCCTTGGTCGACGTAGTAGCCCTGCTGGCGGGTGACAGGGTCGTAGTACGTGTAGACCTGAGGCTGCTGCTGAGCAGCCATGCCACTGAGCATGGACTGCTGAAGGCTCTGGAGCTGTTGCTGTTGTTGGTACATAGCCAGCTGCTGCTGCTGAATCTGCTGCTGAGCACCCTGCAGGTTCAGGCCCTGGAACTGCTGAGCAGCTGCCTGGACGCTTAGGAGCTGCTGCTGCAGGCGCTGCTGTTGCTGAGCAAGGTACATGTTGGTGGCGACAAGTTGAGCGTACAGACTGGGATCCATCTGTTCCTGGTCATCGATAACAATCTCAGGAGGCGCGAGAACCTGCTCAGTGGTGTACTGCTGCTGGTTCGCATAGGCCTGCTGCTGCTGCTGTTGCTGTTGCTGCTGTTGCTGCTGCAAGAACTGCTGAGCCTGCAATTGCTGAGCCTGCTGCTGAGCCTGTTGCTGGGCTTGCTGCTGGTGCTGACCGTAGCGGGGGAGAGCGGTCTTGGGGCCATTGTAGGAGTTCTGGGCCTGGGCCTGCATGCTGTTGGCGGTTGCGTTTCTGGCAAACGACTGAGTGGTAGGCGAGGGCGCGTTGTTGTTAACACCGGCAGGGAAGTTGGTAGCAGTCGAAGACTTGGGGGCGGTTCTAAGACCCGCGAGAAGGTGAGATCTGCTGGTGCGAGGAGTGGGAGCGCCGTTGTCGGCATTGCTGGCGGGAGTAGCATTGGAGAGGGAGAGGGGCTTGACAGGCCCGCCGCGGCGAGAGGCAAGACCTCCGCCGGGCATGGCCAGGCCGTTAGCCGACGAAAAGTTGTTGGAGTTCATTTGAGCGAGACCGCCTGCGTCCATTGCTCAGATGGGGTATCAATGGAGAGCGAGGAATTGAGCTGGCGGGAGTGCCGGTGAACGAGTTGTCAAACTCGAAAAGTGTCAAAGAATGTATGGTGGCCTTGCAAACGGCTGGGGCGACCGGGTCGAATTACAAGAAGGATAGTTTGTTGAGGTGCGCAGCGCTGGGCGTCGAGATATATTATGGTACTCGGGTGTTGCGGATGACGTTGATGACAGTGGTGTATCAGACCGATCCAAAGCGGTTTCCGGAGCTGGTCCAGGAAAGAGGCTGCACGTGGGTGTCGGTGTCGGAGTCAAGGTGAACGGAGGAGGATGCCAAAAAGTTCAAAATCCAAAAATCGGCGGTATTTTGGATGATTGAAGGTGATGTGCGATGCGTTGTTGGGGAATTAGATGGTCGCGTATCGAGCGTCGAGGGCAGGAAAAAAGAATGATCGTTGTGGTCAAGGAGTGGGCGACAATCTGCTGTCGATGGGAAAGAGTAAACGGCGCTGGAGATGTCGGGTGGAAAACACTTGGCAACGCAAGCGGTTGTGGTCGAGGAGAGGAAGGACCACAAAGAGGAGCCTTCTTTGTTGTTGGGTCCAAGACGAAAGGGCGCAGGGACTTGGTCGAGATCGACAGATCAGTCAGGTGACGAGGA